TATATATATATGTATATATGTTTGGTATAATACGTGTGTTGTTGCTTGCGTTTTAACATGTTGAGATATAATATGTTTAGCAGTATTTTAGTAGAGTTGAGGCACGTTTCAGGCTCGTTGCTCGAGATAATAATCTAAATACACCGAGGATCGTGAATGATTGTTTGTGTATTTTTTTTTTTAATTAAAAAATTTGAATTAACATTGAAATCATCATATATATGAGCATTGAGAACTAAATAAATGTAGCTTTAAAAGTTGTTAGATGTATCAAAAGCAAAGTTCATTGACAGCCTTTTTTAATTCGTTACATATAATAATTTTATAATAATTTTTAAATATATATTTGAAAAAAAAGAATTATAAATCTGAAATGAATTAATTTTTAATTTTTCACCGAAATTTTTTTTCCATTATATTTCAAATTGGATCTTTATCTTGGATTATACGATATATAATGGAATGAAATAGAATAAAATGTTGAATGTTTAGAGAGATTATTAAATAGAAAATTGTGAATAGGATCTTGTTTCGAATTTGCAATAAACTTTCGTTGATTTTAAATTCACGAACAATATAGCGTATATGTGTCCTCTAAGGTGCATATCTCGCAGAGAATTGTTCAATAAAGAACGAGTCTACGTGCCGTACATTCGCAATTTTAAGCTCAAGTGCATTCGCGATCGTCCTACTTATGATCTCGTGCAAAAGGAATCGAGTCTTCGACACGGCGAGACCGAAGAGTTGTTCCATTATTTAATTTGCATTAATATTTTGATTATTTAATATATAATTATATTTTAATTAATAATGGAATAAAGAAAAAAAATTTTTTTTTTTAATATAAAACTCCAATCGGCCTCATTGTCGAGTCTCGCGATGAAAAAAGAAAAAAAAACGGTGCCGCCGTTATTAAATTTATTTTATTCATTTATTTGTTTTTAAAAATTTTGACAATATCGAGATCGATATTATTGTTCGAATAATTAATAATTTTAATCGTTCGTTATCGAAAGATAGTTCGACGGCACCGAAAAAATCTAAATTGAAAATCTGAAAATTATCAATTATATATAACGAATCGAAAATTATCATTAGAGTTAGGCATTATTTAATAATGATCTTATTTATTCCATTTATCAATTGTCTAATATTTATGTTTTTCTGAGAAATAAATGTAAAAAGTTAAAATAGTATAAATAAAAATTTTATTACACGCTATTATTATATAACCTATCGATTATATATAACCCTAATTTCATCGATATACTATCAGCTTGTAATTCAATTTCAAAAAAGGAGCAATGATTCGAATTATAATTCTAAATTTTAAATAATAAGTAATAAATATTCTCTCTTTTTTTTTTTTTACACAAATTTCCAATCAAATAGTTCTAGACCGATTATTTACCATTCTATCATCTACCACTATGATTCACTAGTACTACTCGTCCAGAACTATTTGCTTAAAAATTTTCATGGCTCGAAAACTTTTCCAAAAACATATGCCCAACTCGATGGCTCGATTCGCCCAATATAAAGAATAATGATCGATTCTTTTGGGAACATAATAAAAAAGTAATCGGCAAGGTCTGCTGAGACTGTGGGCTACATACCCGCATTCCCTGCATTCTAGACATCGCCCTGAGTGGCCTTAGGGCCCTTAGGGTCCTCATTGTTTTGAAGGCTTGGATCCCGCCAGCGCCACAGAGCGACGCTACGAAGTTAATGAGTGACACCTGCGAGCGAGAAACGAGAGCGGATCACAGCAACAGGTAGACAGACAGGCTACTCGCGATACGAATTCATCATCATCATCATCATCATTATCATCATCATCATAATCATCATCGTAATCATAATCATCATAATCATATAATCATTTCCCAACTATCAAATACTAGAATTCTAAGAGAAAGAGAAAGAGATAGAAAGAAACAGAGATAGATAGAGTAAGTATCAGGTTATCCCAAGAGTTTTCCTTCATTTTTATGGAATTTTTACGATTTCATTTCTTTTTTTAAAGTAGAAATAGATCATACTTATATATCTTATATTTTATTAGTGATATTTTATTAGTTATAAAATTTTATGTATCATATAAGTATATACCGTTCTCATATTCTTGAAATTTTTACTATTCTATTCTTCCAAAGTTTTGACTTATTTATTGCATAATTTTTTCTTATAAAGAATCGTTAAATCTTATTCTATTTGATGATGAAAAAACTTTTGGGACAATTTGATAAAAAGATAGAAAAGAGGTAGAAGAAAATAGAGGTTATGGTTGACGGTCGACACGTCAATTCAATTCATTTCATTTTTTTTTTTTTTCTTCGATTGCCCATGGATGGATCGAGGAAACCATTGAAGCGGATTTAAAATAATGCAGGAGTCCGTCCCATCTGTAGAGATCGTTCCATTTAAATAGTGTATGATACACATTGTTAGATACAACAAATATCCAGAGCAGGGGGACGAAGACATTGATAGAAACCAGATATGGCACAAGTAGCAGTTCACAGAGAATGGGTATAGTGTCACACTTATTTGCGCACAATTATTTTTTAAAGTAATATTAAAATTATTTAAAAAGTTAATTCATTGGATTGAAAGTTAATTTACATATAAATTTTTCTAGATTTCATTGTACGCAATCAAGTGAATACGATCGACAATGCAGAGAGCAATGAATGAATTGATGAGAGTTATTATTAGTTACGAGCATGATAATCAGCTCCATCCTGAAACAGATGAAAAGGTTCGTCATATGTATTTGCAATAACGACGCACCAGATATCGATTTTCTCTTGTTCAATATAATTTTAGTAAATTAGAATTGTTGAGAACTTTAAACTTTAGAAATTACGAAATTTCTTCTTTTATATTTTTTAAAATTAATAAATTATTTCCTATATATTATATTTTATATTTTAAAAAAATTACATTTCTTGCCAATTCTTCACAAAGATATATGGAAGAAAATGATACCGTAATGCGTTGCGTTATTGTAAAAAATCAAAAACCTGATGATCAAAATTCCAAATTACACGCGCATAATATAGTATTGTAGTATACACGCGTACATTAACACATAAGGAAGATTATACAGTACACACAAAGCAATATAATATGTATATATATAATGTATATATATATATAGTTCATATGTATATAGATACACTGTATTTTGCACAACGATCACTGTGCTAAAAAAGACTGTTAGGAAAGGCGTACATCGGCAATAGCTAGTACGACAAAAACTTCAATATCAGTGCAGACATTAAGTAGAGACACCGGTGTAACTCTGTACACTGGAAAGCACACCATAGAGTACAAGGCTACAATCATTGTAGCGATCATATCCTCTCTTATTTTTCCCTCGGTTTTTACTTATCGTTCCCTTCTCTTTTCTTTATTTATTTTTCTTTTCTCATATCGACTCGTCGAAAAACCAAAGCCCTGATTCAAACGTGACGGATTGTGAAGATCAGAAGAATAAATTTTAAAAATATCACCGTATGATTTAATTAAGAAATATATTTCTTCTTGATGAAATAAAAATGAATTTTATTTTTTTTAAAATTAGAAAATTCTAGGGAAAAAAATTATAATATTGAGTAATATTTGAATTTTAAAATAAGTTTGTTGTGATAAAATGATCGTTTAATCCGTCAAATTTGCAAAGATTGGACAAAGATGGTCACATCACCGGATCAGGCCGATCTTTATCGGTTTTCTTTGTTGCTTCTCGTTGACCGATGACTTACTCTCATGCCCTCCCATCGTGACACAGCTCGTAAAGGCCTCAAGGCCCTCAGTGTTCTCATGGAACGGAAGGCCGGGATGTCTGCGGCGCCTGCCCAGATTGCGCCCAAGTTGATCAGTGAAAGCTATCATCATCATCAAATATTGATCAGATGGAACGTGATACATAACACATGATTATTATACATGGACGATTGTAATACACAGTGATCCATCACGAGGGAGTGATTCCACGTTGCGCTCTTCCGTTTTTCGAATAGATATTTTTTGGGTGGTTGAGAGAAGAAGAAGAAGAAAGTGGAGGAAACACGTCGTCACTCAGAGAAACTTGAAAGTGAGATTTTTTTTTGCAACAAGTTTACAAAATCTTTAATTTCTTAAAGTGGAATTAAAGTATTTTAGATTTTTTTTTTCTTGATTGAGATTCGATCATTTTGAAATCTTATACAAAGTTGAAAAAATGATTGTTTAGGATGTGGTGATAGACTTCGTATAAGATACTGCTGAATTTTATTGTAAGCTTGTTTCTAGGAGTAAACGAAGTTTAACTGCAGTATGATCTAAATTATTAAATAGATTAGAGACAATTTATAGAGAATATGAATTATACATATTTTTTTTTATTAAAAATAGGTTAGAAATGTTTTTATTTTTTAGAAATAATTTACGATTCTTCATGTGAGTAATCGTTTATTTTATTTTTTGATCAAAGTCTTCTAGTAAGTCTTTTTTTAAAATTTTTTTCAAAAAAGGATTACACACATTTAGATCATAAAATTATGCGAAATATAAAATATGTTGAAGAAGAAATATTAAACTTACCATGACAATGATAAAATCAAGCCAGCACCAAGCATTCGTGAAGTATTTTTTGAAGCCAAGAGCCAACCATTTGATTAACATTTCGATGAAAAAAATCACAGTAAATATTCGGTCCATGTAGTACAAGATATCTTGCAGAATGGGTCGTTGTTGAAGATGCACATCTTCCAAGGCCTGAACATCGTACGATTACATTTTTAAAATTATTCGCATAACAAGAAAACTTATAAGATAAAAGGAAATAATGAAAATAATAAAGATTGATGAAAAATATTCGATATACTTACGAGAGCCATACTACTCAAAAGGATCATCAAAATGACGGCAGTCTCAAAATACTTGTTCTCAATTAGTTGGAAGGTCTTCAGTCTCAAATTCGCCCAACCCTGCCAAAACGGTGCGTCGTCATCGCCAGCTAAGAATGGGAACTTCTTGTAACAATTTTCTGGACAACAATCAGCTGGATAATCGGATTCGATGGGATCTTCCTCTGCTTGGATAATCGCATCGCCTATAACACCTTCTCCTTCCTCTCCTTCTTCACCAAGGTCTTAAAAATACAATTAATTTTTATATTATTGTTTCTAATAATTTTCATTTTTATATTTTTATTTGCAAACTTCAAATTAAATTTTAATTTCACTGCAACAATTATTTACCTTCTTCTTGTTCTAAATCTTCTTTGCTCGCATCCTTCTTTTCTTCTCCATCCAATGAATCCATGCTCCCCTTATGACTTTCGTCCTTGAACGCCCTATTTTTATGGCTGCCATATGATTTATTACTGCACAAATAGCAAATAAAAAATAAAATAAAACAGAAAGGAAACTTATATAATTTTCCATTAAAAAAAAAAAAAAAAAAATAAAATCTTCGATAACAATCCATAATAATAACTAAAAACTCAAAAAGATAATCACCTGATGGTATCATCCTCATTTTGATTAATGTAATCATTATCCAGCCTGTAGTCACGATGATTTATCGAATTTGCTATAACTTTGCTGTTGTTCATGCACAATTTACCCTTCTTCAATTTATTCTTTAGGTCTCCTTACGAAAAAAAAAAAAAGAAAGAAACATTCTCATTTGATTATCGATAAAACAATAGATGCTGTTGCATTTTTTTTTTCTAAGTTATATCTTCAAAAATAATAAAATTAATAACGATACTCAATTTGTTAAAAGTGAAAATTTGTAAAAGTGAAAAATCTGGACGAAGAAGAGATATGTGGAAATGGAACATTTCTCGATCTTACCATGAATCGTAAATTCCATTCCATCCCCAATAGCAACTTCTAATTGGTTCAGCTCCTTGGCACTCTTCTTATCTCTATACGCATCGAGTTCGCCATCTGCAAGATCTAGGTCCCCATCGCGATCAATTCCATCTGCACAGTCATACAAAATCTCTAACCCGCCCTTATCAGAATGATTTTGTCAAAAGTATATCTGTATGGAACAGAGTAACTGTTGTGATTTTCATCGAGTAACCGGGAACTCATTAAGAAATTGATCCTCCATTTTCCAAACTCCAAACACATTTAACAAAAAAAAAAATAAATAAATGTTGTACTGTTGAATTTAATTTTTTCTTCTGTTCTTCTCTTTTCTTTTTCTTTTTTCTTTTTTTCTTTTTTTCGTATTATTATTTAACTGTAAATTTTTTTGTATTGTCGTTCATGCAGTATATTTTCAGTGTAATCGTTATCGATATTGTTCTATTAAAAAACTATGATTAAACGACGGTGACAAGTGTGACTAGTTTTATACGCGATACATGATGGATTACATTGTATGTTTACTTAATACTTAATAATATTAGGTCAGAATCGAAGAAGGTGTAATTTTTCTCTTCCTTTGTTTGCAAAATATTAATAATAAGCAGAAGTTGTAAAAAAGAAGAAAATATGAAACTTTTGCTTGAAAAAATAATGCAAAATTTACGAGCAATAATAAATTGCGTACATATAATTTTCGTTGTACACGAGTGTTATACACAGGATGTTATTTCGAGTTATATACATCCGGTATATACACAAAATATTACAATCGAGATTCTACTTCGAAATTTAAAAAAATTCATTACATACATTATGCGACGATTAATCAAGATTTTTTAAAAATTTCCAAAAATCTGATCAATCCAGATGTATCGCGCGATGCTCAAAAATCTATCACTATTCGATCATGTTCGATAATATCGAAGCGTTCTTTATTTATATACCGGAAGACGAAACGTTTATTTTCTCCAACGTGAAAATAATAGGCAAAGCAACGTATAACTGCCTAAGGCTAATCAGCGAAGCAAAAATTAATCTATCCTCATCTTCTTTCCCTCCCCCCCCCTCCCCTCCCCTCTTTACTCTCTTTCTATTAATCTTTGATCTCGTCGAAAAAACAGTGAAATAGCGAACCTATTAAAATGTCTGCATAAAAAAGAAAGGAAAAAGAAAGAAAGAAAGAAAGAAAGAAAGAAAGAAAAAGAAAAAAAGTGACACCAGTCAACAGTTTTCTGGATAAAAAAGAAAAAAAGAAGAAAAGGAATTCATAATAAAAAGCACCAAATCTAAATAAGATGAATTGAGGTATTAAAAAAAAAAAGAAAAGGATTGATCTTTTGCTAACTATGGTGTTTTATCGCGCTGTTTCTCCTTGCAAATTTTCAATCTGTCAGTGAGAAATTTAAATTTCCTTTCGTCGACTGGCAGCGAAATAAGTGTAAAACGTAATAAAAAAAAGAAAGAAAAAAACGATTTTTCTCTTTTTTTTTTTTCTCTCTCTTTGAAAAAAGTGAAAAGCAGAACTGAAAAACAGTGCCACGAACTACACAGCGCACACAGCAAGCGATCTGATTGGATATAAACCTTCTTTCCAACTGTTGGACGGTCCCTCACCTGGCGCCTGATCGGATATCTGATTGGTGAGTTTGGCTCGCATCATTTTAGCAAGATAAAGGACATTTCGCTTGATCCACTTAACGAATCGTGCTATTCGATCGATCGCTTCCGCGATCTTGTTCGTATCGTTGTCTGCGGTCGGCGCCGATAGATTCGACGAGCCGAAGTTGCTCAGCAACAAAGCCAAGAAGAGATTCAGCACCTGTTCGTTGCACATCAAATTTTTTTTCATTTGCTTCATTTCCTCTCGTTTTTAATTAAATTGAAGAGAAAGATTAGAGAAAGAATTTCTGATTTCTCAGTAAGTATTTGGAAAAATTATAGTAATTTTTGTGGGGGGGAAGGGAGGGAAGGGATTATATATGAAGGAATTTAATCTCTTCCAAGAAATAAACATGAACTTGGGAGAGTTCTTCAATTCTTTAAATGTAAAAAAAAAAAAAAAAAAATACATACCTGAAAACTAAAAGAATGATACAAACTAAAAAATCAATAAACGATTACGTATAAAACTTGAAAAAAAAAAAAAATAAAACTTTAACATATCGAATGTTAAATCTTTATTCGAGTTATAAGAGAAGATATAATGAAAACGGAAAATCAGTTAGGCAAACCTTACGTAAGCTGTAATTTAATATCGATTAAGGGAGTCGTGAAGCGACTACTTACAACCAGATTACCGATGACGACGGTGGCCAGAAAGAACGGTATGCAAGAAACGTCGCCCACAAGCATACAGTCCCACATAGACTCGATCCATTCTCCGCAGAGTACACGAAAGACGATCATGAACGAATGCATAAAATCGGTGAAATTCCATCTTGGTAGATCACCATCCGGGAATCGATCCACGTTGTCAGTGTAGTTCTTGCCGAACAATTGCATACCCATCACGGCGAAAATGAAGATAATGATGCACAACACGAACGTCAGATTACCCAGGGCGCCCACTGTTCTACCCATGATCGAAATTAACAGATTCAACGTAGGCCACGACTTTGCCAGTTTGAACACTCTCAACTGGAAACAGAAAGATTATTATTTAAAATAATATTTTGAATTGAAAGTAAAAATAAAATATATATATAAATATATGAAAGGATAATCTTACCAATCTGAACGATCGCAACACGGAAAGACCTTGTACACCTTCTAATCCTAATTCCAGGAGCGAGAGAGCGACGATAATGAAGTCGAATATATTCCATCCTTCTTGAAAGTAAAATTTCGGACTCATTGCTATCAGCTTGAGCGTTGCCTCGATACCGAATGTTGCCGTGAAGAACTAGAATTATTAGACAAAATATATATATATATATATAGTATCTATTATTATTATTAGAGAAAGAAAAGAAAGAGAGAAAGAAAGAGAGTGGGGGGAGGGAGAGAGAAGAGAGAGAAAAAATCAATTCTTAAATGCATGAAAGAAAAAGTTCTCAAAACCTTGCGCTAAAAAATAAATTTGTAAATTTGTACTGTTTGCAATTTTCCACAATTTACAAAGTTTACTCTATCCTTCAAATGTTTTGCATCACGATAAACTCGCATAAACTCTTTTCACTCTGCAAACTTTGCTTCTCGACATACACAACAATTTTTTTCCAACTCGATATCGGTGAAAATTTTTTGATGATAATATATTATTTGACAAACCTAATAAAACTTACATAATTTCCCGTCTTGAGCACCCTTTCCATATCCTTGTCCATATCATGATGATCAAGTGCCATGAATAGTGTGTTGACGACGATACAAAGGGTGATGAACAACTCTACGAATGGATCGAACACCAAAAGAGCCACGTATTTTTGAAACTCAAGCCACAACCAGCAACAGTCCCACACGCAGAAGATATCGATGCAACGTAGCACCGCGGTCAATAATTTGTCCTTAAATGTCGGCCCTTCTTCATCGTCGTCTGTCGGAAAGTAATAGGTCGAAGAAACTGTAACGCGTGTTAGTAATTTTGTCTGGCACCACTCTTTTTGGGGAAAGAGGTTTTTCTCGTTCTTTATCAAGCTTGCACAATTTTCCTTTATACATTCCATTGTTTCTTTTTTTTTTTTCCTCTTTTTTTTAACTCATCAGACCACAGATTATTAAAAACAAGAAGACAAGCAGAGGTATGTACCATAGCAAAACGAAACTGAAAATAGAGAGAGACAGAGAGACAGAGAGAGAGAGAAAATTAACAATCTTGAAGGAATTGTACGGAGCCACGTGAAAGCGAAAGAAATGGAAGAAAAAAAAAAAAAAGAAAGAAAGAAATCGTAAATGGTGCATTCAATGCATTTGCACGTGAATGTGCAACGCGACTAACAAGAACACGCGCAGCCTAAAAGCTGTGCAGGGACAATTAAAAAAAAAAAAAAAATCGAAGCTGCATGAGGAGGAATAAGAGTGCGACAAGTGGGTAGCTTGCAGAAAAAAAAAAAAAGAGGGTAAAGAACAAATTTATAGTTCGGCTGTGAGGAATAAATAAAAATCGTGGACATTCAGAATGCAATTAATCCTCAACTGGTGGAACATGGTACTGGTTAAAATGGGGCAAATTGAATTCTCAAAAGGGAGAAAAACGAAAGAAACATGCTGTAAAAGAATTCTTTTTAAGAAAATTTATACTCTATCTAGAAATTAAATCTTCTAATTTTAAGATTATTTCGTTTAACTTATTGATCTCTCTTTGATACGATAATTTTAATAAAAACCTTCATTCAACCACTTGTGGATAAAAATAAAAATTTAAAGATTACTGGGGATAAAATAATGTAGTGTAACAAATAAAATATAAAGAAAATCAACTGTCAAATGTATGATAAATAACACAATGATCACAAATAATAAGAGTGAAAGATATTAATAAATTGAAAAGAAATTAAATGTATGACAAAATAATAATCGATCTAATTCTTTGAACCGTTGCTAAACTAGTTATTGCAGCAACCTAATAGTAAGTCAATGTGCTTGAGACAATGTTGCTTGGTGTTCTCGCTATAACAACGGTAGACATTAGAAGCTCTAATCGCACTTTCTAGAGCACTGAAATGTGTCGATGACGATTGGTGAATGACAATAATAAATCACCGGTCGGAAAAAGCTTCGCGGTTCTACTTTGTCATTGTGCAAATACGCAGGCAAACGCGGCGGAGGTGCCCTCGAAGCGGAGTGCCGTCACGAATAAAGACTATGACGAAAATGAAAATTTTCGCTGCAGTGTACGTCGGTGATCAGACGAGGAGAAGGCGAAATCCAGGCACGAAGCGACCAGGACCGTGCAGCTGCAGCGAGGATGTTAATCTGTGTCGTATAGATCAGGAAACAAACTCTGTTTCCCCAAAAGACACCGTTACAAAATTCGTTTACTTTAATTCATTTCGTTTCACATCGTTATCCATCCAAGTGTTCGAGGGCTTATGCACTGCAATTATTCGATGAATTTACTTATTATACGATTTGAAAATTATGTCTATATAATTATATCATCCTGATTTCACTACGACTTTCATCTTATTTCTCGTTTCTTATTTCTTCCTTTCTCTTGCAATAATAATAAAAATGAAACTTATTGGGATTATCAACAGGAGTCGTACCATGCACTGTAGTACACATCGGTATTAACCAATAATGGAATAAAGTGGTAAATTATAATTTTCGATCGAGTTTAGAAATTATTTTGAAATTAAACAATAGAAAAAAAAAGAGAGAGATAGATAGATAGATAGATAGATAAATAGATAGATAGACTGTAATATACGCATAGGAATCGGTCTACTATGTACAAGGCGCTCAGACAAAAATCTTCAGCACTGAATATCAAATGGAGAAAACTGTACAAGAGTCTCAACAACGGTGTACATCAAAATGATAGGATGCTCATCACACAAGAGATACACATCTGTGACAAAGGGTGATAGAAAACTGTAAGAAAAAAAGTAAAATGAGCGGAGGAGTTGAACATTCGACATTACCTCCTTGCTCCGGAGTTCTGCTCTGTCGTCCCGCCGCCTGTTCTATGATATCGTTCAACACCATCACGTCTGCGAACCAAAGAAAACGACGTTTACAAAAAAAAAAAAACAAATATCAAAATCGTTCAAAATAAAAAATATCCCTCCACTCAACTCAACTAATACAAATTTACCTTTCATATCAACCACGGCATGTTGTTGAGAAGGCTCTATAAACGGATTGTCTTGTTGCTTTGCCTTGCCCATTGGATCTTCCAGATCACCCTCCTTAACGGGGGAAGAAGGAAAAGAAGAAGAAAAAAAAAAACATTATACATCCCTTACAACATTTATCCCAATTAAAGACATTTAAAGACAACACAAGTCACGTCACCTCGATCCAATTCTTTCTCTCTTCTACTCACGTAATGGTACTTCTGATTATTATCCGTGAAATGTCCATTGACAGACGGCGGCCTGACAGATCTGATCCTCAACTGGCTCTCCTTGGTCATAGGTTTCCCCGCGTTCGCTATCCCGCCGATCAGATCACCGTGAGACGTGTACGAGAGGCGTGAGGCGTGCGACGTGTACGAAGAATGCCTGGACCCAAGATTCGCGTAGTAGACGGGCACAACGATCGTGCCGTTCTCCTCGGACATAGGCGTGACCGCGTTCGAGTCATCAGCGTAGGGCAGGTGTTCCTGGGCGTCGAGGAACGTGGACAGTACCAACGGCTTCCGGTCACCGCCGGGCGGCCCGACGAAACGGCCCCTCCCATTTCTGATCGTGAACTGATGGCTACCGCGGCTGCTCCGGCGAAGATTGAACGGTGAGCCAGGCAGACTAAGGCTCGCCTGAAATTACAACAAAGCGGACCACCGCTTTTCTCTCTCACCGTTCTCTCTCTCGAAAAGCGAGTGGAGCGGTTTAAAGGGGGATGGGGCGAGGTTCTTCCTTTTCTTTTCTTTCTTTCTTTTTTTTTTTCTCATTCCAATATGTTCCAATCAACACCCTCGAGACACACCCTATATATATATATATATATATATATTCGCCTATATGTACTATATATAACGATCTTCCTTCTTCGAGCTAGCTTCGCGTGTCGTGTCATTTCTTCATCAATTACTTCATCGATGGAACCTGTATAGTCGGTCAATGGGGAGGGGAGGAGGTCCTGATGACTTAGATTTCGATAACTTTTTTTTTTTTTTATAATTCTGCGGTTTCTTGAGAGCTTGTGGAGGCTACGTGAAGCTCAAAAATTGTACTTATTTATGGGATTTTACTTGTATGAACTTTGAGATGAGATCTTTTCCGAGAGATGGTTCTAAAGATTGAGACAATTCGATACGATGGCGACAGGATGTTGGAGATTCTGTGGATTTTGTGTGGGGCGATTCGTTTCGTCGGAAGAATATGCATCTTGCATCTCGAGTGAAATCAATTCTTAAACTTGTTTGATATTGTTTGATTTGATCGGTGAGGGATACTCGCGAAGTGATTTCACGCAACGAAATGCGAGCGATAAAAATATACTATATTCCCCTATAGAGGATCGCGATCCATCGAATCTTCAAGCATCTTCTGACAATGACTGTGTGTGCAAAAATGGTCCTCTAATGGCAAAACGAGGTTGGCGTTTCGACGAGAAACGTTTCGAACGCGTGAAACCTTGGATCGGATATGTTTTTAATCGACGAATGAAATTTTGGATCATGGATCCTGTACATCTATTGTAGTACGTACGGTCGGCGGTGACAGACACGTTGTGACACACATACCTTCCGCAGGCTTTCCTGGTAGGCATAAGTAAACTGGCCATTAGCGGCGCGAGAGACCTTAAGAAAAAAACAAGAAAAGATATCTCCTACCAAACGGCTCGTAACGTTGTCTAATATGTACACCAACGAGGCACTCGATACGGATAATATGTTTATATAAATACTTGCAAAAGCGTTACATACACAAAAGAAGTGACAGAGAGAGATAGAGATAGAGATAGAGAGATAGAGCATGATGATTAACACACGCAGAGATATAATGATACAACTGTCTTCGCAAACGCAAATATTAGGGTGTAAAACGATGTTGATCAAATGCCTTTAAAACGGAAGTAAGGGAGACACGAAGATCTTCTTTCTTTGATCTTTCTTTACATCCTTTAAGTATGAATTAATAGAAATTTCTGAGTAAGTGTATGGTACGTATCTTTAAAACGTGAATTTGATATCTCGTATGAGATACAGAATCACTTTTTAAAGGTCACAATCTTACATTTTGGAAATCTACTAACTAATTTAGTATTCGCGTGTATCATTGAACAGTCACAACAGGAAGTGAAAGTTATACAACACGAGTAGAAATTTATCCATCGATCTTCTTAGAATAATTTCCGCAGCAGGACTTTTATATGTGACTTGATTGATTGTTGAAAAATAAGTTTCGATCTCTTTACTTGACTATCAAGATCAATGTTCCTATTTGAACCGAAAATTCGTATCTCCATTCTCTACTACACACATGCGTTACCATGCAAAACGGCACAGAATGAAACGTTTTTTTCTTTTTTATTGTCGAGAACGATCCTATTTAAAACACTGTTTTTACACGCGCCCGCGAGTAACCAGACCGATGATGGAAAACCAAAAGGAATGCACGCTGTCAAAAATCATTATACGCCATTCGAAACCAAGAAAGAATCGATGAAGAAAATTCAACGCAACGAAAGCAAGGAGTTCAATAAGCGTCCTAACGAAGTACCAAATTGATCATTATTTAACAATCGTTTACGACAAGCATGCTACAGAGCGATAGACTTTTATGAAGGGGCTCGACTCGTCGCTAAACTTGAGCCTAAGTGGAACGTTTCCTGATCACGATTCATCAACCGTCTATCCTTTTCAAGACATTTTCAAGTCTTCACTTCCCTAAACTGCCATCAACACACCGTCAACAAATCCACCATCCTGTTTTCAGTTTATTCGTTATAGGTTGACGAACGCTCAACAAAAATCTGAATCTGAATCCATCCCTGTCCTTGAAACGGCAAAACACCATAGTGCATAAATGGATAGAACAGAGTTGCCCACGTTAATATTCCTCCTCTTTCATTTCTTAATCAATAAATTTTTAAAATGTTTCCTACGCTATACAATAAATTATCATTAACGTTCTTGGAATATTTATATTTCCTTTTGTGACGGTAAATTTTCCTATGAATTATAACAGGATTTTTTCCTCCAAGTATTTTTCTTCTCTTAAATATTAATCGTTTAGTATCCCTCTGATACTCAGTATACTGTAAACAACGTTCGGATAAAATTGGCGGAGGATTATGTAATCTCCCATGGACAGCTCTGTGCACCATAGAATATAGTCAAAATACGATAGTGGAAGGGCAGGAAAAAAAAGTAGAAAAAAAACAAAAGTATTATTTCAATGTTTCACCGACGAGTCGAGTCGAGATCGAACAGCCTCGCGTGAATCGCTCTCGTAGAAGCGAGGTCAAGGGGGACAAGTTCGATAACAGGAGGCAAAAAGAGAGTACATTACGTCAAAGGAGGATAAATCGATGGTACAAAAGAGAGAGATACATCGGCCAGTCAGACACTTACGGCGCTGACTTTTCGCACTTTAGTGGTGGTCGTGTGATTGTTGATCTGTTTCACTCTGTGCTCGCTGACCGATTCGATCGAACGTATGCTCATCCTCTCCTTGTTGTTATCGTCGTTCCCTTTCTCCTGACCGACGAACAATTCGTAGCTGTGACACGAGAAGTCTGATGGAGATTTGACTATCTGGTCAGCGGCGGTCACCGCCGCATGTGCTGCCGCCTCTCGGGCTGCCGCTTGTGCCGCTAATTTGTTCTCCTTCGCCAGTGCTGCTTCCTCGGCTTCCTGTCATACGTTCCATCAAAATATATCCATTAAATCTCTAGTAATGTTAGTTTGTTTTAGTTAGTTTTTTTTAATAGTAATATTTTAATAGCATTTGCACACAGATGTATCGTAATATAATAATAATGTGTGAATAATTATAGGATTTGGATTGAAACTCGTTGATAAAAGATAGGTTAGATTCTGAGAATTTTTACATTACATCTTTTTTCGTCGATTTCGATTTGCTTCGTTGAACGGTGGCCAAAAAATTTCTAAGATAGAGAAAAGTATTTGCGTTTTGTTTTATGATGTGTGTATCTTGAATTTCTAAAAATACGTGTCCTCTAGAAAAAGAATTGATGGGATAATTTGACAGTTGACTAGACACGAGCGCAAATACTTTTTTTGTAGGCAAATTTCAATACGTTTTACAAATACGTACTCTTATAGCTTCCTCCTCGGCTGCTTCCTCTTCCTCAGCTTTCTTCTGCAATTCATCGTAAGACATCGCGACAATAGCAAGAATCAAGTTGACGAGATAAAACGAGCCAAGAAAAATGATCACGATGAAGAACAACATATGCCATGGGCCGGCCGATCTAAGCACCAATTGGTACAGATTTTCCCAATAATCTTGCGTCATCAGACGAAAGGCGGATAACAATGCCCAGCCGAAGGTATCGAAACTCGTGTAACCGTAATTCGGATTTTCACCGTATCCTTGTAAACACGTGTAACCAGGAAGGCACTGCCTGTATATCAATAAATTGTATCCATTAGATCCAATGATTTATCACGATGATATATAACAAAAATTTGTATTATATATAAGAATAAAAATAAATATAAGATAAATTACCCTGCTCCAGATGAATTTCCACACAAAGGCATGTTTTTCGCCTCGTCCACGTACCAATTAGCTAAATAAAATAATTCAATTTCAATTTCGTTACTTTTGAAATTTTGTTTATCCGATGGAAGAAAAAAAAATGAAAGCTCTATTCAAAATTTGGGATTTCGATTCTTTGAATTAAATAATATAATAATAATTTAAATTTAAAGCGAATAATTTCATTTCATTATATGTCGTTCTTTATTTATAAGAAGAAGCTTCATTCGAAGGGAAATAAAGTAAGTTTGGAA